TTAAGAAATAAATAATAATATATTAATAAAATTTAGCAGTATATTTTTTAAATTTTGTATGTACTTATTTGTTTTAATATAAATTTTATAATATATAAATCAATTTTCCAAACTTATTTTGTTAATTTGGTTCATTTTCTTAGCACCTAACCTATTTAATATCTGTATATACCTCATCCAATTTCAATTATGATTATATGATCATATATTAATAGATCATACAATATACTTTATTATATATATAATACTGTAAAAGCCAGGTTCGGCTTTGATAACAAAACTACATGACAAATATTTATTAGTTGGCTATAGGTATAATCAAAATTGGGGAGGTACATAATATAGTTATATTACGATAAAACCTATGATTATAGTTATTTCTATATTTAAGAACTTTATCTCAACTGATATGTAAACTTCTTGATAATTAAAAATACAGTTTTCTGCGATTTCTTGATTTTAAAAAATTTCTTTAACTGCTAAAATAATTGGCCTATACTCAAATAAATATACTTGGTTTTTTATTCACACAACAGGAGTTAAAAAAAACCTGGTATAATTCTTCTCCAATTTATCTAAGAAAAGAAGGCTATCTTTTGTTGATCAGAAAAGTAGTTTTTCTGAAATTTGACCATATTTTTTTATAAATTTTAATATAGCATCACTAGCTATATAAGAAAGTTTATATTTGATTACCTAATATTAAAGAGAAGCATTATATAAATACCAAAATTCTGATTAGCAATACACCTACAGCATCTCTGTGACAAAACAGGTTTAAAAAAAAAACAAAAAAAAATAATTAAATTGACAAATATAATAATTACAATGTTTATGAAATCTCGGTATGCAGTACTTGGGAAGTCTGAACTATCTATTTTATTATTGTCACTATATTCACTGTCATAACTCTAGAATTCATCAGTTTTGCTTATAATCTTGTCACTTTTTAATATATTCTTCTCAAATATTTCACCAAATTCATTAGATATTGGGTTAAATTCATTTATAACTTCCTAGTCATTGTATATTAGATTTGATTTACTAGCAATGCTTTGAGTATTAAATATCATATTAGATTCATTAACGCCTTCTTAATTGTTAAATATCAGATCATCATCTTGTCTACTTATAACATTTAATTCATTAGACCTATTAGTATCTATACTAGAGCTAGCTTCACCTTCAACATGATAGCTATTTTGTCTTCTTTTAATATCCAATTCATCAGAACTATAAATATCTGCATTAATATCCAATTCGTCAAAACTATAGGTATCCATACTAATATCAGTTTAATCTTCAACTTAATATAAACCTTTTTGTGATTTTTAAGGCTCATTAAATGGCTAAACTTTTTACTGCATACACTACAAATAAACATGAAAATATCTAAAAATAAAAATAATAATAATTAAAAAAACTCAAACTCAAAAAAAGTTTAAATCAAATTACAAATATCTATGTTTTTATATCCTAATCATAGCAGCTTACTGCAATACAAAGAGATCTTGGACCTGCACATTATCAGGTGTTTTGTTCTGTTACAAAGCAAATAATTAAATTTTTTCAATTTTATAATGTATTTTAATTGCACAATCAATCTTATGCATCATACTCTTTAATTTAATATTCGAAATAATGATTACAACTAAAATTGAATATTCTAGGTTAGTATATAATAAGAAATAATAGAGTTTTATTAAACTACAATGATCGATTGAATATTCTGTTGTATTACACGAGCTATTCTGCATAAATACTATTTTTGCTATTTACTATTCTTTACTATTCTTTACTACTCTTTACTACTTTTTACTACTCTTTACTACTCTTTACTCTTTACTACTCTTTACTACTCTTTGCTACTCTTTACTTTACATAATCATTACTAAATTTATGTTATTAAAACATGAGAATTCAAATCTTAGGATATGCCTTTATAGCTTGCCATAGATAGATACATTATGTAAAAGTTTTTATTTTAATAAAAAAGTAGAACCTGCAAATTTATTATTAATTTTTATATTATTTTCTCTTAAAAACACCAATCGATAAATACATAATATTTATTCAGTCTACTCAAGCCATTCAATCATTTATTTTATGAAATATAATGTAGTCTTAAATAGGTAACACTATTAATAACAAGTATTTTTTCTAATTTTAATTACAAATTGTGTATTGTTTTTATAAATTGCGTAATTATATACTGCAGAGTATATGCGTGCATACCTGTTATTTGATATTACATAATTAATATTTAAACAATTCTTAAAAGTCAAAGCACTGGTTATTATAATTTTTTAAATCTTAAATACTTTTTTTACATTATGCCTCCTAAGAGTCGAAAACAGAAACTTGAACTTCAACAAAACGAAGTTGATTCAGTAATTATTAAATTTTTAATTTTTAAATAATTACTAAATTTCTAAGAAGCTTGCTTTTGTTTCAGGCATTAAATACTCTAAGATCTGGTCCATTTGCTTCTATTATAAAGCTACAAAATGCAAGTAAACCTACTACTTAACCTTTTAATATTGATATTAATAATATCAATAACAATACTCAAAACTCTCTTCACGAAATTATTTAGTAATTGTTAAATTTTAAACTTTTAAATAATTAATAAATTTTTTAAACTTACTTTATTTCAGGCATCAGATGCTTTAAGATATGTCTATCTACTTCTATTATAAAGAAGCCATGAAATGCAAGTAAACATACTACTCAGCCCATATATATTGATGATGAAGACATCAATGACAATACTCAAAACTTGCCTTACAAAATTGTTGAAAGTCCACCTTGATCTTCTCTCAATGAGTCTTTTGCTAATGAGTTAGAAAATTTGTCAGTTGATGCAGAAGATAATCAGTCTTGAAAATTTAACAACAATTCATGTGAGTTTTATTATCACTTTTAAGGCTAGTATCTTGCTTATACTTATATGATTTTAAATTACAAGTACTAACCCTGAACTGAAATAGCTTTGACTGAAAAAAATGAAACAATGAAATTAATATTAGAAATAACTAAACAAGTACTTACACAAAATATATCAATTGTAGGAAAACAAGATGCTCTTGAGAGTGTAGTTATTCAGTTAGCCAATGATATCAAAACTTTACAATCTTTGCATGAAAATTTCTAGTTTAATGTGAGAGGCCATAATAATGAATAGTAGCAGGTATATGTAATATATATTCAAATTATATCAACAATGCTAGTTTATAGGGTCGATTTTCTGTTCATATAGTTGAGTATCTAATAAAGAGTTAAAATCAAGTGAGTACTAAAAAAGGTTCACTTATTTTGAAAAATGCATTGATTATAAATATATTCTCTTCATATATTTTGTTAAATTATACTTAATAACTTAATAGCTCTAACACCAACCTGAGCTCTATCATCGAAATTTTATGTTCAATTATATGAAGAAAGAAATTGATCCTATATTATTAATAGCAGTTTTCTTTAGTTCTAGCATTGCCAATAATCAAAAGCACAGTCATATGACCTTCTGACTTCAATCTTATTATTATTAATTATTCCACTAATCATCTGATGTATTAACATTAGTGTTATATATTAATTAAATCAAGTTTTAGTATAGGTTAGACTGCCTTTATTATTGGTAATACTGGGGCTTTTCAAGTTTTCAACTTTATTTAAACCTGAATTTGTATTATATAATCATTTTATATATTGAGTAGGTAATGAGTATATTAGTAAGATTTTTATTAATTATTAGCTAAATTTTTATTAATACTGACTTGGTTGACCAGATTTTTGACAAACGCTATTACCTGATTTTATGAAATTACTTATTAAAATTTTTTTATTAAATTTAGAAAGAAGCGATAGAAGGTATCAAGAAAGCTATAGATAATTAGCTTTATCCTAATAATAGAATATATAAACAGGCTATTTGAAAAGAACTTGAGGTTCTTTGTCCTGATAAAATGGGTTGATATAAAAAAAATTCCAAATGGGAGGCCTTGTTTATTAAGATTGAAAATTCCGTAATTGATTTATTATATTTATCATATATATATATATATTAAAGCCATATAATATGCAAATATAATTCTTTTTTTTTTTTTTTTTTATGTTTAAGGCAGCTTACATTGCTAACAGGATTTTATTAGTATTTGTATATAGAATTATACATTGATAATCCCTACTGTTTGTAATTATATGAAGAGTATATAACAAGCCACATGTACAACTTTAGTCAT